TGTAGTTGTTTTCAACCTGATCATTTTTTCAAGGCAAAAACTTAGATAAGACATCAGTACTTAAATTTAGATATGATCTGGGCTTATGTACATATGGAGTTAGTCTCTGTGTATGTTTAAGTTTTATGCTTATATGAATAACTTTTAGTCTAGAAAGCCCTCCTTTAAGTTTAAGGAAGAGCACAACGTTAAAAGAGTACTTGTATATATAAAAGAGAGTACAACTTGTATATAGAATATTGGTTTATGAGAAGAGAGTAATTTATTTGGAGTGAGAGATAGGAAATAAAATCTCTCTGGGCTTGTCTACAATAGTATAAGATGGAAGAGAGAGCACCAGCAGCCGAGATGGCTGGGCATTTCATTGTCTCCCTTGCTCAGAGCTGGGTGTAAGTAAATTTTTTCTCATAAACTAACCTATGCATTTTAAATATATAACACTTTCTGTGTCTATGAAACTAATTGTGTAGATTATGAAATTTCTAATTGTACAGAATGTAAAAGTTATGCTTATCTGAATGCTTTGATCCTCATGTTTGTTCTACACTTTACGTCCGTGTGCCAGTATGACATTTTATCATCCCCACGCTCAGACATGGGGAAAGCCTCATTGTACTCTGAAGTCCATGGGAGGTCATGGGTGAGAGGATTGTATTTATTTCCGTAGGATTGCCGCAGTGGAAGACAATCAGGGCTGAGAACCTACTTCCAAGTACTGTCCGTCTCCTTAACTCTGCGAAATAACATTGGTCCTCAGGCTGAAAAACGTAGGCTCATCTGGTCTTACCAACCCCATTATTTTTGAGAGAGAACACTCTCCTCTTTGTCCACTTTTCTTCCTGCAAATGTTCACTCCCAGGCTTTGTGGGCTTTCCACCTCCTAAGTGACAGAGAGGTAAAACCCCTGGACACAGTAGATGTTGAGTGAAACTGGAACGATGCTCACTACCAGCGTTCTTTGTACCTGCTCATAACAACAGAGTATAACAATCCTGAGCAGAAATGAATTGCAGAGCGCAGATGTGTATAATGGGTCTTGTATGCATTTGCGAGTTATTGATCTACTGGAACATCATTTGTTCATTGCATGGCTTTCACTGACCTGAGAACACAAACATGCTCTGGTGCTGCCCCTTTGTGGGGCAGGGGCGTGCAGTATGGTCCATGTGGGTACCACGCTGTCAATTTGGAAGCTGGTGGGTATGCTTTTCTGGAGAGTTGGGAAGTACAGAACTTGTGAAGGATTGTAGTGCTTAGTGGTTTATATTGTGTGTAGATTAGATGTTTATCTCGCTGTTGTGTATAGATTAAGTGGTGTATGTTAGAAGGAAGTGTTCGATGTTGGATCTGTTTGTCAAATCTCAGCGTGGTCATGGATTCAGCTTTTTTGTGGACAAGTGAAGGCAAGGAGCTCAATGCTCTTTATTCTTTCTAAAAGCATATAGGTATAAAGGTATATAGGTATAAAAGGTATAAATTATCTGTTGCATCTTCTGATTCTTGTGGAAAATAAACTATTTGATGCACTGTTATTTAACAGTTCATTACTAGCATAATTTTACTTATGGTAAGAGTTTTGGGCTGGCTTTCTAAGGAAGCAGTGCATATGATTGATGACAGTGCAGTTGTGGTTCCCCTTATTGTTTCTCCTTCTTCCTGCTTGAATAATTTCTGAACTCATTGATCAATGTCAGTCGAATTTGTTAAGAGTTCAAAAAAGTGCTGAGGTATCTAAGTTCCTACAAATACGAATACCAGTAGTTAGAAGTTACTGCTTTCCTGAAAGGAATGGCACAGAACTTTACCCATTCTGGTTTTCTGTCAGCTTTTTGGTCAGCTGGTTCCTGCATAATTTTTGTGTTGTCCCACTGTCCGTTCATTCTTGTTGGGGGTGTCAGGAGGAACAAGAAAAGCAGAGGAGTTAACACTGTTTTGGAACTGGTAGAGATTAGGGTACAAGAAATGCAGATCTAGAATGATTTGTTAGTATTTCAAAATAACATTGCAAATTGAAATGTCAATGCTTGTATTTCCATTACAGTAACTTACAAATATATGATAAATGTATAATATCGTGACTATGCCAGATGGTTTTTGGATAAATAGTACCTGGTCTCCGTCCCAGAGTTCTTCAACCCAAAACATAGAATCATAGAACAGCCTGAGTCAGAATGGACCCCGAAAGATCATCTGGACTAACGTTTTGTGGGAGAGGGAGCCTAGATGAGATTATCTAGCGCCCTGTCCAACTGCAGACTGAAAACCTCCAGCAATGGGGACTCAACCACATCCTTGGGGAGGTTGTTCCAGTAATTGATTGTTCTCACTGTAAAGAATTTCTTTCTTATATCAAGATGAAACCTCTCCAAGTGCAAGTTGTACCCATCACCCCTTGTCTTCTCTATCTGGCTCCTTGTGAAAAGAAAGCCTCTGTCCTCTTTGTAGGCACTCTCTCAAGTACTGCTGTGGTTAGGTCCCCTCTGAGCTTTCTCTTCTCCAGGGAGAAAAGACCTGACTCCTTCAGTCTTTCCTCACAGGGCAGGTTCTCCAGCTCTTTGATGCTTAAACTAAAAACTATGCAGTCAGTATTGGAATGATGTGAAACTCCTGATCTCTTTTAACTTTGGTTTGCATATATAACAAATCCTGAGCTGTTGGAATCAACTGTCTACAGCTGCAAAATCTAATTCCTGGAGAGTTAGGTCTCCTCGTGTCACTTTGGCATGTAAAATGAAATCTCTGGTTATGGAAGTTGGGTGTTATATTGGCAATAAACAGCAAACTTGAATTCTTCTCTTACTGGAGTATGTTGATCTTTGTCTCCCTCTGTTTGCTTCGTAATGTATGTCTGTCTGCAGTCTGTTTTGTTTTGTTTTTCCGTCTCTCAAGTTTAATAGCTTTCTGCTCCTTTTCTCCGTTTTACCCATCACTGCTTACTGCCAACTCCCGTTTGGTTTTTTGGGTTTTTTTTTTCCTCCAGAAGCTCTTTAGAATGGTTTTACACTTTCTTTGGCATCCAGCAGAGGGCTAGTCTTGAGCCTTCCCACTCCCTCTCCCCTTTCTGATGTGTTCAAGGTAAAGGAGGAATAAACTACTTATTCCTTTGGAGTGCTAGTATTCTGTGGAGGAGTATCTTCCCTTAAGTGGCTAAACACTTTCAGACCTTTCATGCAGTCTTCTGTTGCAGTATTTACAATATTCAGTTATCTTAGCTTGCAAAAAACCCCCAAACCAAAACAACAGAACAGAACCACCCCTCCCCAGCCCATTCTCTAGTTCTCCTTTTCAAGTCTCTTGTCCCTCTGTTGCTGCCCCAAGGGCTTTTCCTGTCTTTCTGCGTACCCTGGGAAATGGAAGTAGGAAGAGAATCTGTACTCTGCTGGTCTTGTTCCTGTTATCTTTTTAAAATTTGAGTGTAAAAACCGTCTGTGCTGTAAGATTCAATATAACATGTGTGGAAGTTCAGAGAACTCTGGTTTTGTGTGTGTGTGTGTTTTCTTTTTTCTAGGATTTACTTGCACTTTTAAAAAATAGAAGCGTAATAGAGGTATTGCCGGCAACCGAGTACAGTAAGAAAACATAAGCAAAGATTAAAATGTTGATCTTCTAGCACTTAAGAAATGCTTTTGAAAGAGCCACGCTATTAAGTTAGCTTATTCTAAAATATCAGTATGCATGTGATTTTTTTAAGCTTTTGAGATAATGCTTGCTGTGCATGAAATTAGTATTGACTGTGTTACCTGGCATTTGGAAGGTTTCTGAATCATATACCACGCTTGGTTGCTCTGCCAAATTATGAGGGGAAAAAAAAAATTTCAGTATTTTTTTTCATAGTTCTCTAAATTACAACTGATGGGAAGACTGGCTTACAAAAGTGCTGTGGGTTTTTCTGCAGTGACATCTGTGGAGTGTATATATAGTAGGTTCCCAAGTTGGAAGCCAGAAGAGTATGTGGGAAGTGTGAAAGGGGGATGGGGAGGGGACCAAGCAAGAAGTTCAGACAAAAGGAAATTGTTGATGCAAGTTAATGCCTTTTCTTAGTGATATTGATAAATTTCTGCTGCTGCTCAAGGAGTCTAAATTATTCTCCTTCTGATTCTGTTTCCTTTTGCTTTTCTCCTGTTGCCTGGAAAACATGAGTGGAATCTAGTAGGACAAGAGGCTGCTTTTTCATTGTTTTGTGACTCTGTTGCTAGCTATTGTCCTCTTGGCTCAGGCTGTTCATGTCAGTCTTTGTGTGGAGTAAGAAAAATGTTTTTCCTTTTTTCTTTAAAGATTAAATTTCTAGACTGTGTAGATTGCTTTTATTTGAAAAGCAAGCAGCGCTAACATTGGAGTATCTCCCACCAACTAACGTATTTTTGCTTGCGATGTCACCTTCACCACTTTGTTAATTTGGATGTGCTTATTAAATTTGTGGACTAGTTTGGGGGTAAAGCAGTTTTGAAATCTAGTTTCATTTTTTAATGTACTTTGTTTAAAACAAAGGAACTCTAAGCAAGATGTGCATTTCATGAATTTTTCTGTCAGGAATAAAAACCAGATTGCTGACAATGTTTTCAACAGTTGGAAATAGAGCCAGTTTTGCTCTTAAGTAGGAGCAGAGCTCTAACACCTAGTAAAGTAATGCAGCCTTGAGCAGTGTCACTGAGATCTTGTCTGTTGTGACTGACTTAACTTACTACATCACTGATTATTTATAAATGAAGATTGTTTTAGAGGACATTCTTGAAACAGAACTGAAATGTAGTTTGCTGGTATGAGGATGCACTTGTGGATGCATAGGTAGTGCAAAAAATGAGACATTTAGTTCTCTTGTAAGTGACAATTCTTGCAGGTAGTATTTCTATGAACCTGCTCTTTATTGCCTTTATTTTTGCTGTACTAATTACTTGTATGATGGTACAGAAAATATATTGAAAATGGAAGATACTGTAACTGATTGTCTGTTGTTTGTTTGTTTTTCAGGCATCTATTAAGAAGCTAAAAGCGACAGAACCATGGCTCAGTTTCCAACACCTTTTGGGGGTAAGTTGTTTATAGTGTATTCTGAACTATTCTTATCTTAGATGCAAAAACTTGGCATAAATCTGTTGCTTTCGGAATATGTTCTGTATGGAAGTGTTTATGGATAGTGTATCTTTCTGACATAGTTTATCTGATTTGTGGTGGTTTTGCAGACCTATTAGAGAACACACGGGAAAATTTGCAGAGACATCTCAGATGAGTCAAAGAGAAAAACTGTGCTGTATCCCTTTTTTGTGCATTGATCCATTACAGTCCTACAGTTTGTAACTGTTGGGCAGATCCAGGCCACTCGGCCACTGGCAGTAGGGCATAGCCTTGTTCAGCGGTAGTTGGGGCTAAGAAGTGGATACTCATTTTCTTTGAGGATTCCTGGACTTTTTCATTGGTAAAAAGTACAACAGATGCCTTTGGATGCTATCACTTCAAATTTCTTTTCCTTGTTGTCCCATAACCCATGCTTAGATTAGAACAAAGGTGCTGCATTTTTAGCTCTCCATTTATAGCAAGAGAAGGTATAGCATCTTGAACTTCAGTCTTTTTGAAAGATCCAGGAAGGGCCCTGGTAGTGCAATAGAGACATTACTTTTTGCTAATCATATGAAATACACTTTTGAGCCCAGTTTTGCAACCGATCTGAAGAAAGATCGCAAGATAAATTTCAGTGCTGAGACCTAGTAAGTAGTTTGATTCCACTTAAATGTTGCATCTGTTAAGGGCTTTTCTCTGGAGTTGCAGATATGATTCTTGTTGTGTGTATATGTATGTTTGTGTATACATTTATACACATAAATATGCATACACACAAAAAAAAAGTGTGTGTATGCATATAAATACATATGGAAGTCTAGATTTTGGGATTGGATATAGCTAGGAACTAAATTTGTACCTAGTGTTAGTGTTTCAGTGGGAGACTTCAGGAAACACGCATGTTATTCAGAGTATGTTGTTAGAGAAACCCAGTTCTTGTTAAACATAGTTGATTAGGCACAATCTCTTCCAGTCTGAAAAAGTCCATGAAGTTCAACAGAAGCATCATCTCTTTGCATGTCGTAGCTAGAACAAACATATAATTGGAAGCTGCCATTCATTGCCTCAGTTATCTTTAAGTCCAGCTCTCTGGGATTAAATCTTGTTTAGTGCTAGACTTTATCAATTTGGGAGTGAAACTGGCTCCCAAAAGCTTTGACCAAATAAACTCACTGGCCAGTTTCATGTAGGATACCCTTTCAGATTGTCTAAAAAGTTGTGAATAGGTTCATTTCACCATGATTTTCACAATCTAAGAGGAGTCATGATGTGAAAGGAACCTGCTTGTTCAGACTGAAGTATTTCCTTTTGTTTAAAGTTAGGGCTGTGCTTTGAATACACCCATATTTAAACATGTATGTGCATTCTTAATGGAAATCTTGTCGTCAAAGCATTCTCCTCTCCTTCAGAGAGTTTGCATTACATTGCAGATGGATAGCAGATTTCTTTTTTCAACTTTATATATTATCATATGATCTTGCGCCTCCTGTCCAAGATCCTTTTAACTCTAGTACATGGCTTTAGGAAGGAAGGAATTCACTATTTCTTCTCAAACAACATTTCTCATCTGACTGCTCTGCAAAGAGGAAGATGAAATAAGCATGTGACTAATGTAGTTTCTAGAGTATCTTTAATTTGTAATGTGATGTGAGGGAAGTTTGTTACGATATTCATACCTGAACCAAGTCTACCAAGTAGCATCATACCTCCTCTTAGAATGATGGTAAAAGTCTGAGAATGTTGTAAGAGGAAACAAATGGTGTAAAGAAAATTCCAATTTTTATGGGGAAGTTTATCATCCTTTTGAGAACGCAACATTTTCTGTTACCTGTAGTCATCAAACAAGATGCAGGGGAGGAGATTTGTGCAGTCTCCATATTGGGAGAGCCTTCACTCCAAATCTGCAATATCTGGTATCCCTCTGCTTGTGAATACCAATAATGATGTTTTTGTTTTTATTTCGCTTCTTTTATTTTTTAAAGACTCTTTCAAGTCAGCTTGGGAAATGGGTATGGAAAGAGCACAGCACCCAATATTTAAATTGGGGTGACTCATTGATTTTCCAGAACACTGCCCATTTTAAGGATGACTAAAGAAAAAAACCAGGCATGGTAGGATTTTTGTAATTGTTGGGAAGAATGTGGTATACTTGACCTTCTGTTGCTTTGTCCTGGAGGAGAAAATGCCCATTTCATATATGAGAGCCCACTGCTTCAATTCTGCAGATGAGGTGATTGCTAAGCCATGTAAAAGAAAAGATGGTTAGAGGGCTTGCTGCTGCATTCAAGAATAGCTTGCTTATGAGTCAGTTTTGTGGTTTGGCGACTGCCTTCTTTGTACCCAGCTACCAACTCCACAACCTCTGTATTGGCATCCAGGATCTGAAGCCATGAATGATGTCTTGGTGTTGGGTAAGATTCTGCTTCTTGCCCTCCTGTAGGTCTTATTGTTTCCTCAAATAACAAAAGATGGAAACAAGGCAATGCCAGAGATGCCATTCATACTTTTCTGACTGAAGAGGCTACTTGGCTTGCTTGGTTTAACATTGGCTCTTTTGATGTTCGTATCCCACAAAGGAGATCTACTGTTTCAATACCAACCAAATATCCATCTGGAAGAGTAAATATTGACAATCATTTATTCTAGTGACAGGGACTCCCAAGAAGAAATCAACAAATTTTGTTTTGAAACAGTTAACAGAATACATTTTTAGTTACCTCATGCTGTAAGAGTTTTAGTTCTGGGTTTTACTGTCATCTTTGAAGAAAGGTAGGAAGAGCTGGGGTTGTTGTTGTTGTTGTTGTGTTTTTTGGGGGTTGGAGGGTTTTTTGGTACTGGAGTCAGTCTCAAATTGAGGGTGAGCAAGCCAATGAATCATTGCAAATTTCATGTTCTTGGGTTTTTTTTTCTCCCCACATCATATTCAAGAATTTCTCCTCTTTGTGTAAGCTACCACATCCAGCCTTAGGATGTTGGGCTGGGGTAGTCATGTTTCTAGTACAGGGAGATGTTCATCTGCTTCTAATTGGCCTAGACTAGTTGGCCTCATCTGCATATTGGTCATAAAATCTTAACACCATTCCTTTCCTCCTGTCAGGAGTTCATGAGAAGATGAGGGAGATAATTGCTTACCTGAACCATTGTGTTTTGGGTTGTTCATATCCAAAGAAGAGTCCTGCTCCATCTCCACAGGGAGCACAGCTATGAAATCTGTTTACAGTGCCTCTGTGAGCTTAATCACGAAGATTTTTGGATTTTTGGACTAATCATAAAACGTCCTTTCTTTGAATTAGACATTATTAACCTGTCTGTTTCTAGAAACACATAAGTTCCCTGAAACTGAGATGGTAATTTTTTTACCAAGAATATAGCTTTTCTTTCATTAATAAAATCTACCATTTAAAGGAATGTTTTTCTTCCCCTTGTCCATTTCCTTTTCTCTCCAAAGTACATTTTGCCACATGAAAGTAGATTTTAAATAGCAGAAATTCAGGAGGCAGGAAATTCTCATGTTCTTCATAACTGCTGAGTCTGATTCTCTCAGCCTACAAGCAGTTTGAAATACTTGCTGTAAATATTTGTGGACCTTATTATCTGAAATTTAATCTCTGAGAATTTAGTGCTGAGACAGAGCGAATGCTAGATCTTCACTTTATTTTTCTGCAAGCCTAGGTTTTATCTTTCAATATTGCTTCAATAAAACCATGATTCCATTAACTTAGATGCCTTCATATCATTACATTCCTATACAGTAGGAGTTACAGGAATGTGTACCAGTGCAATGTACTTCTACAGATGTTGAAATCATGATTTTTACTGGTTAGAAATTGTTGAGACAAACCTGAAACACAGTGTTAGAGAGTTCATTGGAGGTCTGAAGTGGAAGCTGAGATATGTTTGCTCTGAGTACAAGTAATCTGAAGGATGAAAGTGAAATGTCTGCAAGAGGAGAGAGAGGAGAGAAACTGCTGCAAAAGTGGAGGTAGAACTGGAAAAAGTGTTGTGGAAGCATGGCACTGTAGAAGGGTAGTAAATCTCAGTGTAAAGTAAATATTCACCTCCAATTTATGAGTGTGCTGTGAAGAATCTGGTCTGTGTAACAGATTCTTATTCAGATTTCTCATTCTCAGAAGAATGAGGAACATGCTTTCCTGTGCTGTTGTTGTCCATGAAAAATGTTTACTGTGTGGTTGAATCGCACTTTTCCTAGACAAATAAAGAGTTGTTCTCTTATAGTACAAAACCACATTGTACACAACTGATTATTTGAGGTACCTTTTCAGTTAAAAGACCTTGTATTTCAAGTGCTCTGAATATTTCATTGCTCTGAGAGGCGAGCGACCTCCCACTCCCTAAGTATCTAGTGTTACGAACTTTTTGCGTTATATCCTCTGGTATGCTGATGTTGTGTTTTAATAGCCCATTTGTAAGTTTGATTGCACTTTGAGCAGCCTAGTTGTAACTTAAATTTTCCTGTGAGCCAGATAAGTGAATCAGTGCTCAGCAGTCGTCTTAATTTGGTAACACTTAGTCCTGGTGAGTTCATAAGTCATAACTGGCTATTTAAGGATTCATGGAGCTTTGAACTATAGATTTTGAATGAACGGTTTCTGTGTATATGTTGTTTTCAGAGGTCCAGTATGATATGTTATAGTTACACTCAGAAATAAAAATAGTGTAGTTTTTAGATAATGTTTCTTAATTTTATTTCTCCATTTCTTTTGAACTAGGCAACCTGGATATCTGGGCTATTACTGTGGAGGAGAGAGCTAAACATGATCAACAGTTCCATAGTCTGAAACCAACATCTGGATTTATCACTGGTAATGAAATAGTTTTCATTTCTAATTTAATTTAATTAATTCTTAACTAGCGAGCCTAAATATGCACAGAGTTGCCTGAGAGACATTTGGGCATAAGAATTAAAAAAATTGAACAGATTTACTCATTTTATATCCCATTTTTCATATGCCTTACAACATCAACCCCAGCTTTTCTGATATTTTCTGATGATATTTACCAGCTATATACTGGTTTATGCCACTTGATTTCCATCTGAGTAGGATTAAAATTATTTATAACTGTGGCTGTATAAAGCAGTTCTATTGTGTAGAGCAAGCTGATACTTTCAAACTGTAGAGTTAGAATTCAGGACGTGGAATCACCCTGATGCCTGGTAATATTTATAGTGCTTTTAATGTGCTCAGTGAATTAACTCACTGTCTGGCTGAGATGGAGGTAACTTTCTTCGTAGCAGACTGTATGGTGCTGTGCTTTGGACTTTCTTGCTATGGCTGAACAGTGCTTGCAAAGCTGAAAGGCTTTCACTATTTCTTACTCTCCATCCCCCAGTGAGGAGGTTGGGGCTGGGCAAGAATCTGGGAAGGGGAGACAGCTGGGAGAGCTGACCCCAGCTGGCCAAAGGCTCATCCCATACCATCATGCTCAAAAAAAACCTGGGGTTGTTGTCTTCCAAGGCAGCCATTGCTCAGAAACTGAGCCTGAGGGAGGTGGTGAGTGATTACCTTTGCATCACTTGGGGTTTTTTTTCCTTACTCTTTCACTTCCTAAACTGTCTTTATTGCGAGCAATGAGTTTTCTGAGTTTTCTTACTTTTGCTCTCCCTATTCTCTTCCCCATCCTGCTGTGGGGAGGGAAGTGAGTGAGTGGGTGCTTAATTTCTGCCTGGAGTCGACTCGCCATGCTAACATACTAATAGATTAAGCAGTCTGTTTAAATAAAGATGTATCAATTTAACTGAAATCCCTTTCAGAAACTGTTTAAACTAGTGAAATCAGCACAGGTAACCTCTTTAAAAAATCTAAATGACAAAATTGATTTAAGTTGTGGGAAGCAAAGCTGCAAGTAAAGGAATTGCACTGATCCTACCAAATTTTCATTGAACATCACTAATTTGCTTTGGTTTTAAAGGCAATAGGATGCCTACTTTTTTGTTAGTTTGTTTTGTTGCGTTTAATTTTCTTCAGTGCTACTTAAACTCTGATGCTCAATTGAAATGAAAAGTATAGAAGTGTTTTACCTTTCTTGCTGGCTGATCCATCAAGAGGATTTCCAGAGTGTGAAATGGGAATCAGATTCTTGCTAGAGTCTCATCACAGCCATACATGCTTCCAAGTACGCAGTTTGATTGTTTCTGTTCCTGTTACATGACAGATATGGTACAAAATACTACTGTTTCTATTGACCTCCTTTGATATTTAGTGCTATTTCTAGTCTGTTTACAACTTTCCTTTACAGGTCACAACATTTGCAAGTGCCTAATCCTTTTGTAATTGTTTGCTATCTTTACTTTTAATTGATAGTTGGGAAGTTACTTTGAAATACACCATCACTTTCTAATGGTGGCTTATCAGGTTCACATCAGGGTAAAGACCACTTCATTTCGTTTGTGCTAGCTGACTGGCATTGTACTTCCAAAAATCTAAGATAGAGTTTATATTAATTCATACTTTCCTGGAAGAAAAAATTTTCTTGTTCTCACAAGGCATACGATTCCTGCAAAGAGAGCCGTTAACACAGATCAGGGATTGTGAACCATGAGTTTCCCATTGCTCTTAATGTTTCTGCGCAGTTGACTTCATGTGGTGCTGACTGTTGCAGACTTTAACAGTATGTGCTTGTTGCAAATATCTGGTAGGTTTGCAAGTGACGAAATAAGTTTAAATCTCATACTCTGGTATGTATACGTAGCGTTAAGTATTTCCGGTTTTACTGTTGCTTCTGGTTTGGATATTTTTGACTTATGATTTCCTCTTTCCTTTTACAGGTATTTTTAGCATTTTCTGAAATGGTGTCCTATTTATTTTATAGGTGATCAAGCTAGGAACTTTTTTTTTCAATCTGGGTTACCTCAACCGGTATTAGCACAGATATGGTGAGTATATGGGCGGGGATGGGAGAATTGCAGTTATGTCAGAGTGAAGTTTACTGGTACAGACTTTGATAGTAACTATATTTCACGATCTGGGGTTTAAAATCACCAATTTAGTTCAGTGTGCTTTCCAAAAGCCTACAAGGCAAATATGCTTTGTATGTTTAAGATGAGTTTTTAAGTTACTAGTTTAGTTATTGGAAGTAGGCATCCTTCTATAAATGGCATTTTTGAAGTTGACGATTTGCAGCCCTCGTTTCAAATTACTAAATGCTTTCAGCTTTATTAAAACTGTACTAATACAATCGCTAAGCACAGTAATTAGTATTAAAAATCTTCTAATGGGAGAGCCTGTGCAAGACTTGCAACATTTGTTACAAAAATTAAGACTACTGTAGACTATTTCCATTGTAGTTGGAGATACAGCTTGAAAGCTTGAAATTTTTACTATTCCTCGGTGAGTTCAGACAGATCAAAATCTCCTTTGCTCTATGTTACACATCACAAACATTTCTACAGTCTGCCAGTTTCTTCATGCAGGATTGCAGTTGTTTCTACTTCAAATTATATGACCCTGCCACTCGGACATGCTAACTTGCATAGATTATTCATAATTTACATTACTTATATTACTTCTAAAAAAATTTTTTTTTGGTGCTAGACAGAGTGAAATAATACTGGTTTTCGTTCTGGATTGGAAAAAAGCAGCAGAGGGATGGATAACTTTCGACAAATCTGTTTATTGCGGTTATAAAAACTTTTTGTTGTAGTAAGGACTTCTAAAGGCAGAATCTTGCTCTGACTGGAGAAAGAAAAGAATTATTTTCTTGCAAGAAAAACAATTGCTTTGGAAATATGCATGCCTGGAAGAGGAGCTGGATTTACATGACTTTGAAATAAATAGCTTATTTTCTTTTCAAATTATCTTCATCTTACAAATATCAAATCTGGTCTGGTTATCTTATTTGCTGAAGACTCAGTGGAAGTTCAGATGTCCCTTTGGAACTTCTCTTGCCTCTTAATTAAACAAGGAAAGAACTTTTGTCTTAAGACATTCTTTCTCCAAAAATGGTCTGTAGGCATTAGCTTTAAATAGGTGTTAACAAAACCAAACAGTTGTAAATAGTCTGACTAAAAATCTCTTCCTCTCTGAATTATTCAGTTTTTCAGCCTCTTGAGAGGGAGAGAATCATTCCAGTAGTTCTGTAGTTGTCATAGAGACAAGACCTGAACTTGCACATTTTTTTAAGTAAAGTTGAACTAAAACTTATTCATGCTGCCTTTTTAAATCATAAAAAAGCATGTAGAAATCTCTTTTTCACTGTCTCTCTTCTTTTTTTGATCATCTCTGAATTGAGAAGTAAATTTAAGTAAAAATCTAGATCACTTGTTATATATTCCCAGTCAGAATTAGAATGAACAAGTAGGAAAATAGTTGCATAGCGGTAGTAAGACCAAAAAAACCAAAAACCAACAACAAACAAACCAGAAAAAAAACCCAAAACCAAACAAAACCCCCTTCTTTTCCCACAATGCAAATGATTTAACTCGTTTGATCTGTCAGTGAATGTTTGTTTGTAACCTACCACTGATTACGGCTGTCCCACAGGAACAATAGAAGTTAGACTTAGTGGCAAGAAGTCCATCACAGTATGCTCAAGACTGCATTGAAAAATGTGAATCATTGTTTGTATTAGCTCCCAGGGGGAAGAGCTCAAAGTGGCACACTTGCTTTGTGGATTACTAGCAATATTCTAATGTTGTCTATCTAAATCTCTGTTAACATTGGTATAGATCCATGAGTACTTTAATAGAGGGGGGAGTTCTGGAATAATAAGCCCAGAATCTCCGAGAGAGATACAAGCTGCGTAAAACTTCTTTTCTATCAGTATTCTTTATTTCTGGAATAGGTGGAATTTTTTTTTTTTTTTTTTTTTAGCTAGCACTTGATTATTAGAGGGAGACAAGGGGAGGTACAATAGTCTTTAGTGAAGGACAGTTGTTATTCTGAGTTAGAGCAACTAGTGAAACTCTTCAAATTTATTTTCTGATCCTAGAAATATGGCAGTGTATGTATGTTGTGTTTTGGAAGTGTTCTCTTATTCTTAATGAGTCTACTTATTTTGAATACAGTTGATTGTGTTAATCTGTCTGCAAGATGGGAGCCTAGCATTTGTTTCATAAAGGATTACCTACAGCTGTATGTAGACAATACAAAGTTTCATCTGTTTTATTGGCTATGGAAGTTCCTGTAATGAAAAACACAACTGGGAAAGGAATTGCAGGGGGGATTGGCCTAATGAGTGAGTGGCCATCCTGCTTTCAGAGCTCTCTGCAGTAAAAGCAAGCCCTCTATCTCTGTGATTTTTCAAAGGTATTATCTCATGAGTGAGATAATTTTGTTTGCACAAGTGAGCAATATAATGATTTTCACTGTCTTAATTTTAACTAAAATTGAATTGGCATTTTTGTATCATGAAAAAGTAATTTTCAGTAGAACTTCACAAAATGCGAGCTAGCTAGCTGAAGTACCAGTTAAATGTCTTCTGCTGCAAGAGCTGCTTTGAGAATATTGGTGTAATTGTTTTCTAAGATGAGAATGTGAGGAGTGTATCTATTGTAATTTCTGCTATTCATCAAAGCTTCCCCAGAATTCATGTTCCTTAAAAATAGTAGCTCTATGTTTTTTAGCATTGATAATTCCTGTGTACCTTCTACTCATCATTCATTTAAGAAAAAAGAATTCTCTGGGACCTCAGTGGAGCAAATTAGAGGAATTATTATGGTCTGTCCTGACAACTACTTTACTGTTCTGCCCTTTACAAGCTTTGGAGTCTGCCAAGCTGGTAATCTATTAAGAAGCCTCTAAGTAGGCTTTGAATTGAGACTGCAAAGGCTTGGAAGATAACTGGTTTTAAGTAGGCAATAATCTGGCTTTCTTCTAAAGCCCTTACGAATGATGGCCTCAAAAAGCATCTTCTGTGTAGCGTGTCTCTCTGGAATTAAATGAGAACTAAAATAATCAATGCCATCTGTTTTTCATGCATTTAGAGTTACTTTTTTTTTCAGGACAGACTAAAGCCATTGGTTGACTTACCTATTTCTGACATATGCTTCCCTCACAACCTTCTTATATTTGTGTTGAAGTGTGGGAGTGAAAGGTTATGGGTGGCAATTCTGTGAGTTGTAAGTCTTGCTATACATGCATTGGTTAAGAGACTGATGCTGAAGACCTAATTTCTCCTCTCTAATTATGGCTGAGTTTTATGATGCAATATGGGATTGTATAATCTAATATGGGAATGTAAAGCTAAATAAATCCAGATTTTTTGAACTGCAAGGGGATTTCCTTGTTTTAACGCTGTGCTGTTTTCATGGAGATAGATGTTTTGTAGGCTAATCATAAGCATATTTGATGGAAAAAAATGTGCATGCTCAGTTTCTGCGCCTCATAAATGCAAAAATAAAGTTGTCTTTGCATTCTGCAGAAAAGAGGAAAGAAAGGAAGAGGAAAAGGTCTGCAGGGTAAAAATTTTGTCAGCATCTTGAAACCTAGCATTGTGATGAAGTCCACTGCGACTGTTCTCCTTAGAAAACCCCTGTTATAAACAGAGATCTGTTCTATAAAATATGATAAATATTTAGTCAACGTTTACTCCATTTATTGCTCTGCACTGGTTCCGGCCAGACCTTAAATGAAACAAATTTAAGGATACTACAGTCTTCCAAATTTCATTAGAAGCAGAACAATGGAATTAGGTAGTGTTTACTGTCAGCCACTCACTGCATTTAAGGTGATGTTTATTCAAAAGTAGCACTGTGATTAACAGCATGACACTAGGTTCAGTAATTAGAAATGAAAATTTGTCCTATTTTTGCACTAAAGATTTTGACAGAGAAAAGCTGATTTTTGTTAGCATGCTGTAAAAATGTATATAAATTCTATAGTGTGTACATAATTTTCCTCACTGAAATTTGTACTCTTAATTTAAATAACAAAGCCACTGATGTAGAGTAGATGAGTTGAACAGAAGGTCAGATGTTAAATTAAAAGCTACTGATGATGATGTGAATAGGAGCTCAATTAAAGCAATAGACTGGTGCACATCAAAGTTTCTTATTACTGGACAATGAATATTTTCTCACGTAGAATGCAAAGACTTACTGTGTTCTAGCAGTACACTCTGTAAATAGTGCTTGGAGAATCAAGGTTGCTTATAGCATGATATTTACTCTTACTGCATTTTCATGGCCAGGCACGTAACAAGTTGAGGGACTCTGCCTGTGCTTTAGTAATGGAAAGGCTTAAATTTTATAAATCAAAGTATTTGCAGGTGTAGAAGCCACTTCAGTTGAACAAATAAGACTATTATAAATACAACTTGTGTAATTACTTTGCTTAAATGCAAAGATGTAAGGAACATTGTGACTACTTATTTGAGTTGTAGGTGCCAGGCGGTCACTATGGAGCTGACTGACTTCTCCGTATGTTGAGGAATGAGTCGTCTTTGGGAGGACCACTGAGTGCTTGGAGTGCAGTCAAAAATCTGCTGGAATAGATTTATCCAGATCAATTTCTCTAGCTTTGTTCCTATGCACATCCTCAGCTTGCTAGCTATGTAAGTCTGGTTTTTACTGCCCATTTCCACTGGACAGAAGAATGGCTAAGCAAGTGTTGAACTAAACTTTCATTAAAAACTCCATGCGTTTTCCTTGTTGAATATTTTTGAATTTTCTTTAGTTGCCTTGAAAAAAGTCTCGTGTCTGCTTGTAAGCATCGATTAAATGAAGCTAATTATCTGCTCCTGTTTTACATTCTTCTTAATACTCTAGTTTTCTAATGAGGCTTTCTTACCCTCCGTATTCATTCAGTGTATGTTGTTTTACTTTGTCGTGCAAAACCTACAAAAGGGAGCACTTCAGAAAATACATTTAGCCTTTAAGTTTCTGACATTCTAACATTCCAAATATCTTTTGCCTCTTGGATGTTTTGTGTTTTTAAGACTTGTAGCATGTATTTTTCCCAAGTAAGACTTTTAGAGATCTAACATCACTGTTTATAGGTGGTGACTAATGTATGTTATATGAAGTGGTTTGGTTGTAAAAAGTAAAAGGTGTATGAAGAAGAAAATGAACATGTACTGAGTATTACTGTTTCTTGTAAGCCTAAGTGGTGATTTTGGGCAGCAAAAATTCTTCGGCATGTGGTGGGACACTTCCATGCAGACAGAGTGGATATTCTTAATTGTCATAGTTAAACTATGAATTCCTTCAAAATGAATTTGGACTTTTTACAGGAATTTTAAGTTGATATAAATATTTCTGATGTAGGGATGAAGAGATGCACACATGTCTTTTTGAGGTTTATATCCATTTCATTGTATAGGAAGAAAGCACTACATACTGTATACTTGCAGTCTGTTTGCAGGTTTGCGTATAGTAGCTTGTGTGTTCACCCCACTGGACAGAAAAATATGATGGAAGCTAATAAACTCTTAGTATTTTTATGTCCAGAGAAAGCCATTGTACTTCAGAATTAACAGAACGTGGATAACCTCAATAACAAAATGTGAGAAGCCTACTCCGTGTTTTTAACTATTTTCTAGAAGTAACTATGCCTCTCATTTGATAATACACGTTTTTCATTGACAGTTATTGCAGTCTGTCCTTGCTGTTGCTTAACACTTACAGGATTTAGGCTCCTCTGCCTTCCTTAGGGTTCTCACACTTGTCTCTGCAAGTTGCGTGAAGTCAAAAACATTACATCTTTCACTTTAACTTAGCCTGCCAGTACATCAGGAGGTGCCAGTGTGTTGCTTGCTCTTCGTGGAAGAGTGATCAGAAGCTGAGACTCTAGAGCAGTGGTGTTCTGCAAGGAAGAGGAGATATCCATTCCAGATTTGTACTTCTCTTGGTCCAGGTTTGCCATGCTGGCCTTCCCTCTTCCTTGTGCTGGTTGGACTAACATAGACCAAGTCCGACTGCTACAGTAGCATCTTTTTAACTGATTGTCAAATGAACCACATGCTTAAGCGATCATGACTGAAGCTTGAATCCAAATCACATTATGCTGTGTGGGTCCCAGAATCAGTTTTGATTAAATTTAGGCTTCCAAAGACTGGCTTGTAGTGGGATTAGAAGAAAGTTTAAAGCTACTGAAGAGCAGGCAGATTTTGTGTGTCTATTAAACTTCCCTGTGATATGAAGCTTTGGGAAACAACACCTAGAAGTTCTCAAAGCCAAAACATGGTCTTCACTGAAACATATGTGGTAATTCAACATCTTTCAGGGAGTGGTGCAATGCATGCTTTTCATTTTAACTGTAAGCCTCAGACTCTACAGTTTTCTCACCAGACTTTCTTCTTCAAATGCTGCTGCCAGATTTTCAGTAGTATTATTTCACTTTGTGACATAAAAATTGGTGGATTAAGACAGCTACACTGCTGAAAATGCCGTCTTATAAGTACTGTGAAGGGTTGGAGTGTCTCCATTTTTGCAGAAATATTACTGGTGATCTAAACCGAGGGAAACTCTTGAGATGTATGGCTGATGTGTGGCAACCTCTGCTGGGATCTGCCTTCTCTGAGTTTTCCTAGGGTTCTTTTGGTTGGGGTGGCAGGGTTTTCATTTTGTGAATGCTTTGCCACTGCATTTACCTGGCTGTCTACTTATTTAAGTATCGATTTTTAAATAACTGTCAATTTATTGCAGTACTTTTTAGATAACTTTTCACATACTTGCACGAAAGCTTTCCTTGACAGGGATTTAATGAGAATGAAAGCTCTAGTTCAACTAGACTGCCTGAGTCATTTGTGTTGTCATCTCCATGACATGTAAATGTATGCATGAACCTAAAAATACATTATTTCAATACTGAAATGTGTACTTCATTCTTCATGTGAATGCAAAGAAATAAGCATAATGTTTAAAACTAAGTTTACAAGTAATTACTTTATTAATGTGAATTTACTCTGGTTTTTGGTTTGCAATTGCAGGAACTAAGATTAGCCTTCCTGCTTCTCTCCCCCCAGCCTCCCAACCCTATTCCCTGCTGAGCTTAGTTTTCTTAACCATCACATGAAGAAACAAAAAGAAGACTGTTTAAGTCAGACTGCTTTACATGAAAGCCTATTCAAGACCTAGTCTCAGTGTTTTATCTTGAGTACTATTGTTTAGCTGAAAACACATTTGTACACTTGCAGATGTAATGGTAGTTAGTGAAGTGCACAGATTTAAAGAACGTTTAAGTGCAGCTAAAGTACAGATTGGCAGACTAAGTCATTTGATTCTCCGTGGTGCAGTTTGTAGTACTATGGAGTTTCATTTGTGTGATTTCTCAAAGTTTTTGTAGAACTACATTAATCCTTCTTCTCTAGATGCTTTGCTGTAATTCCTCTAAGAGTTGAAAAGAGACTTTAAAAATATTTATTAATCACTCCAAGAAAGAAATCAAGAACCTCTCAGTTTAAAGTGTCTTGTTTCATGACCATTTGTACCCTGGTGTAATTGTTCTGAAGTTTGAGTGGAAATTAGTTAGTCTTGAATATACATGCCTGTGTGTGCATGCTCCTAGGTCAGTTCCTGTAGTTCATAATTTAAGAATCTAATTGTGAAAATCCTGTATTTTGTAGGGCTCTAGCTGACATGAACAATGATGGGAGGATGGATCAGTTGGAGTTTTCAATAGCTATGAAACTTATCAAATTAAAACTACAAGGTTATCAACTGCCATCTGCACTGCCTCCTGTCATGAAGCAGCCACCTATTGCTCTGCCTAGTGCGCCAGGATTTGGTAAGCTCTTTGTTTTCCTCCTTGTTAGCTAGTAGTATAGCAACTTCAGTTGAATTTGGTTGTTGTTTTGCAGTTTCTAAAAAAAACTTTTAGGAAAAAGTATCTCTAAAAGTACATGGACTCAAACCCAAATGCTACCACACGCATATGCGTGCTCCAAAAAAAATCACAATGAGCTTTTAACACCCAACCGTACTGAGTAACGTCAGTTGAGCTCCTGTTTGCTTCAGGTCTTATACCGCTCCCTGTATGTTCCAAACAAAAGTGTTTGCAGGGAAACAAGGTGGAGCAGGTAGCAGGGCTAGGGCATTCCAAAGTCATGGAGTTTTTATTTAAACTGTTGTCATTCAGGGCTCTCCAGCTTTGGCAAGATTAGCTGTGTTTTTCTTGACTTCTTGCAAGTCATGGTAGTAATGCACCCCTCTGCTTTTATTTTATGAACAGTTCTGCACTGGTATTAGCTAGAACAACTACTGATTCAGTTCTCGTGGTTAAGTACTGTGAAGGTCGCCATCATTTCAAGGAAAAGAGTAGGGAAAATGGGATGGTGAGAGGAAAATAACTAGAGGAAGCTGAACCTCGTGTTTGACACCGTGATGTTCTGCTGTATTCTGCAGTGAGAGGGTCGTTACTGTGACTCAGGTTGATTGGTGCCTGAGAATCACTGCTGTCCTTAAGAGAATAGTGCATTTGATTAAATGCGTGCAACTGTGTTGTTTGATCAGTTGTCGCTTCCACAAGTTTTACAGTTTTATTTCTGACTGCAAGAAATCAGTGAGATTGAACAGAGCAAATACTGGTTTAAGTGCAAACTGGCATAATAAACTCAACCCCCCAAGAAAACCAGCAAAATCTGTTGTTTTCTATTTTCTTATTCACCATAGGCTTGATCTCAGCTGTTTGCACACACCCTCATTCTCCCATTGGCATGACTGTACCTCCTTAACCTCCCTGTTATCCATGCAACTGTGCTTACACCTCAAATATCTCATTAGTGTGCTTTACCCTATTAGCTTTGCACCGTTTCATCTTGACAATAGGCTGCAAGCAGTTATCCTGAAGCTTGTCCTTTTCAGCTGTGGCTAAATGTAGGCTTTGGGTTCATTACTCACTGGAAGTTGACAGTGCTGCTCTTCATTTAGTTCAAGGCAAACAATTCTTTTCTTCAGCAAATGCTAATAGACTTTTTTTAGTCAGTGTTGCATCCAGTGTGATCTTATATGCATACATTATAAAGTGGTATGTTGTTCCCTCTGCATTGTTTTATGTTCCTCTGCCATGCTAATGGTGCAGCAGACTGTAAGAGTTCTTTCAAGGGATGTGTGGAAGTTTCCATTTCAATTTGCTCTTAATTCTGCATTTACTGCTGGGTTGCAGGCTACAGTTCAATTGTTGTATCATATTAGGAGCCTCTAAATTAGAAAAAAATATCTCCTTTTCTCACCCATAGGTATTGGGGGCATTGCCAGCATGCCATCTCTTACAACTGTTGCCCCAGTGCCAATGGCATCTATTCCAGTAGTAGGAATGTCTCCACCATTAGTATCTTCTGTTCCTGCAGCAGCAGTACCTCCCCTGGCTAATGGAGCTCCTGCTGTTATACAGCCTCTGCCTGCTTTTGCGCATCCTGGTATGCTACATATACTGAGTGTTTACTCTCTTGTTAACAAATTATTTGGCTATTTTCTTTGGATCCAGAGAACAGTAGAAATGGAATTAGGCATTCTAACTTACTTTAAGGAATGACTTTGGATAAGGACTGTACTTTGGTTTAGCCCAATGTAGTTGGTTAGCAAACTTGTATAAAAGTTAAAAGAAGAAACGTGGATGTACCATACTGTAAGAGTCAGTCATGTTGAACAAAACATTAACCGTGTTGTAACAGCAGTGTGATAAATCTAGCTTGCCAGTAAACTGTTGCGTAGAAATTGGGCCTCTCCTGTCTATTTGTAACTACTGAAGTACTGCTATTTGTTGGAATTACTTTAAAATACTGGACTACATATGATTTCTAACATTAATCACAATATAATTTGATATCAACAAGGTTTGCATAAAACTGCAAGAGCAAAAAGACATGAGAGAAGTGCCTGTGTATTTTCACCTATTTTGTTAGACATTGTTAACTTATCTTAGTATTTTTAAAAGAGATACCATCAGAAGAACTGTAATGCTTGTATTTGATGTTAGGAACTAAATGCATGTTGTTGAAATTCTACAGTTTAAAATGCTAATACTAATAATTACATGCATCCTCTTATTTATAGCCACATTGCCAAAGAGTTCTTCCTTTAGTAGATCTGGTCCAGGATCACAGCTAAATGCAAAACTGCAAAAGGCACAATCATTTGATGTGGCTAGGTAAGTTGATATGGAATGAGTATATGTGTGTATCTGGTTCCCCAGAGTTAGAAAAACTAGTTCTCTTTCACAAAGTTGTTTTCTGAAATAATATTTACTTGTAGAAATTCCT